ATTTATGGAGAGTGTAAGAACATGCACATCAATATTTTCTAAATGAATCTCTAAAAAAATATAAAATATAAATATTAATATAATATTATGTGAGATTCATCTCAAGTTTCTCAAATAAGAGATTTTGGAGTTGGTTTCTCAATTTTTTTGAGATTTTTGTAATACTATATTAGTAATTTTATGTTAAGCAAAATATTATATTAGTATTTATATTTTAATATTTTTTTAGAAATTTTACTATTGGAGATGTTCTAAGAGAATAAGTAGTGGTGATACAATGTGGGTATCATTAAATATAAAATTATTAAAATTTGAGTAAAAAGAAGAAAGAAAATGTTTTTGATTGAAATAATGGGGTGTATTAAAATATAAAATTAATAAATTTTGGTGGGTATCATTAAATATAAAATTATTAAAATTTGAGCATCTTTATTGGTGAATTTTGGTGGGTATTATTAAATATAAAATTATTAAAATTTGAGTAAAAAGAAGAAAGAAAATGTTTTTGATTGAAATAATGGGGTGTATTAAAATATAAAATTAATAAAATTTGAATAAAGAGAAGAGACAGTGGGTATTTTTAGAGAGAGAGTATCAAATAGTTGATACTTTTGATACTTTTGAAGAGAGAAAGAGTGTGTTTTTAATAATTTTATATTTAAAAAGAGTATAAAATTAATAAAAGTTGAGTAAAAGGATGAAAGAGAAGGTATAAAGTTGAGTAAAAGGAAGAGAAAACGTGTATTTTAATAATTTTATATTTAATAATACCTATGTTGTATCACTGATCCAGATGCTCTAAGAGTATTTATATAAGGAAATGACGAGGAAAGCTAAAAACCAATAAAATTCGTTTTACCGGCATGTGGGACCTACTTGCCGTCTTTTAACGGTATTTTAATTGGTAAAATAAGCAACAACAAAAAGTGGGCGTGTTTTGTTTTGGTGGTTTTGATGTTTTCGAACGGTTTTGATTGATGTTCCTAGCTTTTTACCATTATCTCGATCTATACATGGAAAAACATCCAAGAAGAATCATTAAATCTTTATATAGCGGATTCATCTTGTTATATGTCAATTTACTAAACTCAAGACAGTGTATTACTTCAAAAAATATTTTTTTCAAAAAAAGTATAACTTCAAAACATATGTATCTAATAGAGAAAATAATTTCCGAAAACCATATGAAAGAGTTTTTTTGAATTACGATTTCAATTATAATTGACAGTTTTTATTATCTTAAATGGTGAGAATACTCAGCGTATTAATTATAATGTATTGAATTTGAGTTTTGACCTCGAATCTCCTAGTTATAATAAAAAAAAATGTTGAAAAGATTTATTTGCAAAATAATACAATGATAAAATCATAAACAAGTGGGGTAACTTTTAAAAATAGTTATTGCTTTCTCAATCGGTTTAGTTTCCTGTTAATTAATCATATAAATGTATTAATATAAATCCACTAGATAAGTTTTCCAAGACTTCTTAACATTCTTCTATGTACGATGAATGCAAATTTTGAACTTTTTGGGCTTCGGAAGGGTCACACTC